AGTAGTAGTAGTAGTAGTAGTAGTAGTAGTAGTAGTAGTAGTAGTAGTAGTAGTAGTAGTAGTAGTAGTAGTAGTAGTAGTAGTAGTAGTAGTAGTAGTAGTAGTAGTAGTAGTAGTAGTAGTAGTAGTAGTAGTAGTAGTAGTAGTAGTAGTAGTAGTAGTAGTAGTAGTAGTAGTAGTAGTAGTAGTAGTAAATAGTAGAAGTTAGTAGTAGTTGAAGTAGTAGTAGTTAGTAGTAGTAGGTGTTAGTAGTAGTAGTAGTAGTTAGTAGTTAGTAGTTAGTAGTAGTTAGTAGTAGTAGTAGTAGTTAGTAGTAGTTAGTAGTAGTAGGTGTTAGTAGTAGTAGTAGTAGTTAGTAGTAGTAGTTAGTAAAAGGTGTTAGTAGTAGTAGTTAGTAGTAGCAGTTGGTATTAGTTAGTAGTAGTAGTTAGTAGTTGTAAAAGTAGAAGTTAGTAGTTGTAGTAGATGTAGTAGTTAGTAGTAGAAGTTAGTAGTAGTTAGTTAGTTGTAGTACTAGTAGCTAGTAATAGTAGTTGGTAGTAGTAGTTAGTAGTAGTAGCAGTTATATGTAGTAGCAGTTAGTAGTAATAATTAGTAGAAGTAGTAGTTAGTAGTAGAAGTTAGTAATAGTTGTAGTAGTTAGTAGTAGTTGTTGTTAGTTAGTAGTAGTAGTAGTAGTAGTAGTAGTAAGTAGTAGTAGTCGTTAGTAGTAGGAGTTAGTAGTAGTAGTTAGTAGTAGTAGTCGTTAGTAGTAGTCGTTAGTAGTAGTCGTTTGTAAGTAGTAATAGTTAGTTAGTAGTAGTACTTAGTTAGTAGTAGTAGTTTGTTAGTATTAGTATTTAGTTAGTAGTAGAAGTTAGTAGTAGTAGTAGTTAGTAGTAGTAGTAGTAGTACTGATATTTGCAAAATGCATCTTTTATCTCAATAACACTGATTTAACATGTCATGTAACATACAAAGTATTTGTATAAACCTACATTATAATTAAAACAACAAAGAATTGGGTTAGTTCATTACTTTGATGCATCACTGTTTTCTTTAAACACTACATATAAACGTCAAAATTCAGGAAAAGGTGTGTGTACGTATTCCTTACGTCACTTGAAAATATGACATGATTTGCCTTATTGTAAAGGTCGTAAACAAACATTTCTGTGTGGTTGTCAATACTGTAATTACGTCAAAATGTCAGTTGCTCAACGTCTAGAATTACGGACGACCATTAAATTTTGCGCAAGTATTGGTAAAACACCGTCAGATACCAACAAAAAACTTAAAAGGCAAGCGGGACAAGTTCAGTGTCACGAAGGCTTGTTTTTAAATGGGGCAAACGCTCTGTAGAGGGTGGGAAGACGATGACAACCGGTCAGGAAGACCTTCATCCGTAATGCCGGCGCATGCGACGAGGGTTGTCAAATATTAAGTGCACTGGTAAATATGTTACATGTACATTGCATATGAACAATAAAAAGTACAAAATACTTTGCATCAATCATTCCTCTATTGACAGTAAAACAAATAATGACATAAAAAGCAAATGTTATTTTACAATCAACAGAAAATTAATGCAATAACAGTAATGAACTGACCCAATTTTTTTGTCTTTTGTCGTGCGACGGTATTATGTTAGTAAGGTAACTTAGTGACAATTCTTTTTCACAACACTCTGGTTACACGGGTTTTTCTTTTGTTTTCTTATTTGAGACAGATTTCCCCTTCAAGTGATATATAATTCATGTTTTTCTATCAATAACTCTTGCGACAATAACTGCAGTGCACGAATTTCTTGGACAACCCTCGTATAATTTCACTTTTTTCAATGACGAAATTACTTTTTTAGGATTTACCCATGTGGTACCTCAATTTTATTTTTACTGACAATTCTGACAATGTCAGGCCCCGTGTTCACAAAGAAAAGATTAGGATCAGGATCAAGTGATCCTGATTTTATGTCAATTGTTTTATGTTATTAAAATTCATTGTGTTTTGCTGGGATAAAATAGTAAATATTCAAAATGTAAAAAACTGCTGATTTGCAAAGAAATCAAACTATTTGGAATAAAAGTAACAAATAACAAAACAAATACAAAAATATTCGGATCAAAATAAGGATCAATTTTAGGATAAGGATCAATATTTGGATCAACTGTAAAATGTCCGTATCTTAAATATCTAAAAATAACAATAAATTTATTCTAAAATTTCATTAATTTGCTACTGCAAGTCCATTTTTTATCAAATTAATTTTAGATATTTAATCTATGAGGATTAAAAATGAAGAATATTAGAGGTTTTCAATTTGATCCTGATCTTGATCCTGATCCTTAAATCTTTGTGAACACGGGGCCTGGCTGTTAAAAGAAATAGCAAAGCTGAAATAGATAAATAACTTAAAAGTCAAGAGTAGTAAAGAGAGAAAACTTACTTCTATTCCTTCAAATTCAAATTCCAATCATCAAATTTCGTCTCTAAATTTTTTTGTTTCGTTTTACAGTCTGAAAAATACATTCCTTCCCCTTCCGATAAATTGCTCTTGATGACATTTGGGCATATTAAAGTATCCTACGAGCAATAACTGCCGTATACTTTATGAAAAATTAAAAAGCATTGACAGCCATCACTCGTAAAATAAGTAAAACAACCCAGCGTTCCTTAGCAAGCTTCCAAGTTTTCCATTTTCCTAGCTCCTTTTCTGAATGTTTTCACTTCTGTCAACACTTATTTTTTGTCTGTTACAATCCTCAAATAAGTTTTCTTTCTTTTAAAAAGGTGTATGACTAACAAATCCAAATTATATCCTTCTGAATCTTACACAATTATTTTCCTCACATGAAATACAATACTTTAAAAAATGGCTGCCGCTTACATTTACAAAGCCAGGTCTAATATAAATTCGCAGTAAGTAATAGCAATATGGATGGATGGTTGGACTTTTTCTCCTACAAGAATTGTTTGTTTTTATTATTAAAACAAGCGATCATTCATATTTTTTTGATAAAATGAATAAATATTACCGTCATTTAACCTTGATTGGCGGACTTATTTTTCAGCTCAAGACTTCTTGTTTTAAATGAGAAATTCCGTCTAAATGGTGCTCTCAATGGGGGAAACAGATTTTAATATTAACGTTAAAATTATGGAAATTTCGTTTTAACTTGTTTTAAGCATAAAATAAAAAGAAAATTTGTCTGCTTGTTGCGTAAGATGTAATTTTATTTCATCTCGTGAACTTTAAAAACAGTATTCTCACTCGTGGCTACGCCACTCGTGAGAATACTGTTTTTAAAGCCCACTCGATGAAATAAAATTTCATCTTACACACAACCAAACAAATATCCTCTATATATTCTGCCATGGTTTACTATGCATACGGTGTCACAGTGAAAATATCTTTCGTTATGTTTACAAAATAATTTTTATACGTATATTTTTTTACTTTCTTGTACATTTAGCATAACTATTTAACGAAAGAAAACTAAAATGATATAAAGTATTCTATTTCGAAATTAATAAATAATTAAAAAAATATATCGGGCTATATTTGACCGAATTTACTTGTGGTGGCAGTGGTTACTGTACAGATCAGGGCCTGATCAGGGGATGTAACCGCTGCGAGGAGTTTGATAACAAGTATGTTGCAAATTCCTTAAGCAGGTTAAAGTGTCAAATAGTCCATGTAAACGATTTCAAGTGGATATGTAGTTGTGATGTTTACTTAAGGTACATAGTTGTGTACATTGGACTTTCTAAGGCATATTTGGCATTGAGAAACATGGTTGTCTACATCTGCATACATTCTTTGCCAGTAAAATATTTCTTTACGTAAAGCTAAGGTCCTTTCTCTTCCGGGATGTCCAACATTGTCATGTAATCCAACCAGAATATCTTGTCTGTAGCATTTTGGAATGACTAGTTGTTCAGTGTTGTTCTCTTCCAAATGTCTGTATAGAATACCTCGTCTTATCCTTAGATGTTTGAAATTTCTCCTCATCAGAATATCTTCTCTATCCCAGTTCTTTAATGGCAACTTCTTATCAATGACTGCTCTTCTCCATCTTTCTATGGTGCTATCTTGTCTTTGACTTCTCCTTATTTCTCGCATCTCTATCTGTGCCATAGGTGTTATAAAGTCTTGTTGTCTATACTCTAACACTCCTCGTGATTCTGTTTGTACTATAAACAAAGAAAAAATGAACGGTGTTAAACTGCTAGGTATTACTTATAAATGCGGCAGTTATGTTTTTTCCCTCGATTATATAGTTTACAAAGCCTTTCTAAAGCAACAATAAAAAGCATATAAAAAATAATATTTTCAGTTCTTGTAATGTTTTCTTTTTATACAATACCGAAATGATATCTCACATACACTTTCGCCGCATATTTGATCCATCAGTTAATAAATATTTTGACAAAACGCGCCAATCAGTAAGCAGCGCAATGACGTCATCCTGAGTATAAAACTCTGACGTCATTTTAAACATACAAGAATGATAAATTGGGCCTGATGTAAACACAATAGAATCCATTCTAAGACGTAGGTTTTTATTATTGAAAACATGATAAAATAACCTTTTTCTTGTTATTCTTTTTTGTTTAATAATTTCTATATTTTAGCAACAGTTGGGTGCGAAATCGAACAGCGCGTTACACGAAAATCGGCACCGAAGTTATTTCTGCTTGAAAAAATAAACTTAGTGATCTCCCTTTTTTTATCTTGTAAGAATAGAAATAATATCGGTCTGAGCGATGTTTATCGGCTATTAAACACTCGTGTTGTCGTTTTCATGCGAAAAAATAACCACTCAGGCCTAAAGCCTTCGTGGTAAATTCCGACGCATAAAACTCACTAAAGACCGATATTATTTCTTAATTGGACGAGGCGCTACACGTTTTGCAGCTGAATACCTTTTTTGTTAAATTTTGACATTTGTTGCTTTAAATAATGAGGAATTGATAAATAGTTGGCCCTGAAAATGAAAATGAGGCTTGATGGACTAGACTCAGTGGACATGTCCTCGATCAATTTTATTGTAAAATTACACCCAACAAATTAAACTTGCCTCGTATGAGTAATATTTTCCGTTGAAAAATATCACCAGACATTCTTCTTGTAAAACGTCATATTTTAAGCTGGGGAGCAACCATTAAACATAACAATAACAACATAGGTCATAGACCACCAAATCTCAAATTTTCTTAGGATAATGGACACGTCGTCGATCAGTTGATTTTGACATGATAATGTAAACAATTATTTAAAATAGTACTTGTATGACAAAATTTGGAGTTTATATTTAAAGGAAATGTGGAAAAAATAGAAATGAATTATTTAAGAGAGGATTCAATTATGTACTAAATTGTACTTACCATTCTCAGTATGTATTTCAGGTATTCTGGGTAGGGTAAGTATCCACAAAACATATAAAAGTCCAAGTCTTATTATTTTTTTACTGTTCATGAACATCAGAAGCAAAAGATACAGTACTGGAAATGTTATTGGCAGATACTTATTATATGCATGTAACTTTGAACGTATTTGAAACTTTAAGAACACATAGTAACAGTGAATGTATTTAGAAAAACTGTTTAACTTTCAACGTTTAACATATTTACAGACTAGTCACAGCATGAGTTTTATTCTTCCTGGCAGAATCTGCACACCCACTGAGATCCAGTGATGAGACTCAAATCTACCAGTGCTTGAACAGAGCTTGGCAAACACTCCCTGTGATACCATTTATCGCATGCGTCACACCCTACCCAGATATAACCGTCTATATGACCAACCATGCAAACAACACAGATACCATCATCCCTTTCCATGAATTCTTCAGAATTACTTTCTTCAATTTCAGGATCTTGTGCTGTATCTTGTACAATAGTAGTCTTATTGCTCTTCAGCAGACGTGCATGCTTGTAAGTGGCACGTTTTGTTACAGCAGCCTTCTTGGGAGCTGGTGGTTCAACTAATATGTGAGCAAGGTCAGCTGATATAATTCCAAGTTTAATCAGGGCATTTTCTTTGCTAGCTGATTCATGCTGACCTGCTACACTTGTGGATGGCTGATGGGTATTGGATTGTTCTTTAGTGGCAGGCAACAGTGCTTTTACCACATTCTTATTAAATGGGTATATCCCAGTACATTTGAAGGCTGCAGATACAGTAGCACCATTTATCTGGTTAAATGCTTGGAGTAATATTTTGCCAAACAGATTGCGGGGTAGTGTCCTTACACCAAGATACCCTAGTTGCAAGGAAAGCTCTGCCACTCGCTGCTTCAGTATGTGGAAGTAACCAACATCTTGTGGCTGTAATAGATGGGATGTGTGTGCCGGAAGGTACAGAAGATCAACCTTATATTTTGCAGCAAGATTTACAAATTCCATAGAAGTGTGGGTTGCGTGGTTGTCAAGTATAAGAAGTACAGGCCGACGGGCTCCTATGTATGGAACAAAACACCCTTCAAACCACTCTATAAACAATTGGGAATTAACAAATCCCTTTTCAGTAGACTTTAGCTGCCAAGAATCTGGTAAGCCATCATTGCAGTCTCTTGGAAGACACTGAGAGAATATTAACATAGGAGGGGTTGTTTGTCCACTGGCAGAAATTGCATTTATTAATGTTACATGCCCTGATAACATAACATAAGACTGATAAGCATGCCTTATTCCTTTTGGTACTATAACTTTTCTTGAAGGATTCAGCTTACCAGAAAATCCTGACTCATCACAATTATAAATGCGTGCAGGTTCTGACATTAGATGCCCTTCATCGAGACACTTCTCTAATAAGTTGAAGTATTCATCAACCACATCTTGAGTAATAATTGCCCTGGCATGTTCAAGAGGATGGGCAACTCTTAACCTAAGCTCACGGTGGTTTTTCAGAAAGCGTGTCACCCATCTTTCTGATGGTCCTTTACTGGGATCCATGCGCTTATCACCTCCACGACTGACAATAATCTCTCTTGCAACACTTTTTAGAGATAATCTAGAAAGCGGACAGCCTCTTGATGCCATGAATGTTGCATAATTAATAAGAATTTGTTCATCCACAGGCTTTAACATACATTCTTCCCCAAATTTTGTAATATATCCCTTGTATTTCCCATTGATATGGTTCTGTACAGTGGTGTAAGGAAGGCCTAATTCAGCAGCTGCTTTACGTATACTATAGCCCTGGGTCACAAGACGTTTTGCCTCACTATATATTTGATCTGGGTGGGTCCTCTGAGACCTAGGCATTGCTGAAAATATATTGTGGAGTGTCACCAAGGGGGAAAAAATATAGTGGTGTTAACCAAAGGAAAAAAAACAGTAAAATATAGTGGTTTCTAACCTATATGTTTATCTATCCTTTAATTTATTACTTTTTTACCTTTGATATAATGGAGAAAATGTCAAAAATATCTAATTATTCGTAGAAAAGCTGAAAAAATATATTTTAGATAAAATATGCATATGTTTAGCATCTTTTCTCAATGGCTGATCCCTGACCTAGATTACTGTAGGAAATCGACCCACCCCCTTCCTGGGAAAACAGCAAAAAACTTACTTAATTTTAATTTGTAGAATAAAATTTTTGTATAATTATCAAAATTAGTTATTTTTTGTCATTTTTATATATTTTGTAAAAATATTAGAGCTAAGGTGAAAATGTGCACTTACTTTTTTATTGGGTAGTGTCTACTTTCACTTCGCCATTGTTTTTAGAATCGTCTGCTACATGAACTTTGACCCCACATAAATACTCTTCAGTGGGAGGTTAGTAAAGTACTTACATGTGTTGGAAAAACAAAGCAAAGAAAGTTTGTGTTTTATCAAGTTTATTTATAAAAGATACAAAAAACAAAATTTTGATCGAGGACCTGGCTGATCGAGGACGTGTCCAATCACTCTACACTATGCAATTAATAGAGGATATTAAATGAGTGTAAGTTCATATTATTTTATTCAACGAGTGCAATAAATTCAGTATTGAACTTACACGAATTTTATATTCTATTTATCACATACCCAAAATAAAGACCGTTTAAAGTGAAAAAATTGTCATTTTTCATTGACGCGCCTATAGTATAACGCTAACATTTAGCGCGTCTTTACACTATGTTTGTATAACGCTAATTACGTCACGTCAAAATATATGCACGGCCGTGCAATACCATATTTACGGAGTCTCAAAATCGGCACGGGTGTGTGATAAATATAGATATTTTCAACTCTGAAAATAAAAAAAATAAGCTATATTGGGTACGATTTTGTCGACTCTGGAAATGAAAATTGAAAAATTGATGCAATAAACGCTGTGTGATATGTATTTAATATGGATAATTAAGATTTTTGAATCAAAAACAAGGCTAAATTAATGAGATTTGATCCGATACTGATTTCTATCGGTAATCTCGTGGTTTAAAAGTGCATTCGTTATATTTTATTTTGGATGTGGAATAAGTTATCGTCTAAAATGAATATAACGCATTGAATCATGGGAACACTTATTTGCTTTTTAATATAAAAGTAGAATTGAAGTTGTTTAGTACATGCAAGCATGCAAAAAGGAGACTAGTTTAGAAAACAACAATTTGAATGAGCAAGAACAAAAAAAAAAAAATCAAAGCACAGAAGGTGCTGAATTTGTTTGGGTCTCAGAATGTCTGTGAGATTATAAAACAATTTAATTGTTTTTGTATAGTGCCACCAATGCTTTCCAGCGTTTTAATTGTAGTAGATTTGCTATAAGACTAATTGCAACACTGATATTCAATCCAATGTTTATTTGATTTAAACAATTTGAAAAAATAATGAGTTGCCTTAACTGGGATTTGAACTCCAGACCTCTCGCTTCCTAAGCGAGCGCGCAAACCCATCGGCCACGGTGAATATTATATGTTAATGGCCTGAATTCTAACTTAGGGTTTGTAACGACGCTAACTGTTGTTTAACACTTGTGTAAATAATCATGGCGCTTACTATAAGCATGTTTATCTATAAAGAATAAAACAATATTAGAAATCTTCGACCATTCGGGAATTATTTTGCTTGAAAATTAATGCGCCTGTCATGTACAGTGATCTCGCCCTTTTTCTGCCTTAGTGTTACATATAAAGGGAAGTAACCGCTTCAATAAAGCGGACTACTTTCGGCATTTGCAATTAACAGCATTAGAGTCTGAAATTTCGCTACCATTATTTGTTTGGTCTGACGACCCAAACAAATAAAAACCACAACCCCCCCCCCCACACACACACACGCGCACACACACACACACACGCACACACACACACACACACACACACACATGCACCACCACAACAACAACTAAAAAGAGATATACGAGTGCTTAGGGTGTGTAAACCATCTGCATCTCATTTATAAACAATGACTATGGATAAAAAATATCAGCTTAAATGGATTTATATAAGTGTAGCTGTTTTTTTTTTGTATATTTCCTTTTTTTAAAGGTGGGTGGCCATATAGGTACCTCTTTTCGAAATTTACTTTAAAAACAGTACCCGTGTTGCACATGCAAATGTTTTTTTTCTGGCGACATACATCGGACATACATCGGAACATAGAATATTTTAATACTGGCCATAGCTTTCGCAGAAGTGGAGGATCTATCGCAGCTATGGAACAGAATTAATGCATTTATTCTATCTTGCTTGATGACATTGGAACTTGCATTATGCTTAATTCCATCTTGCTTGATGACATTTGAACTTGCATTATGCTTGATTCCATCTTGCTTGATGACATTGGAACTTGCATTATGCTTAATTCTATCTTGCTACATGACATTAGAACTTGCATTATGCTTAATTCCATCTTGCTTTATGATATTTAAACTTTGCATTATGCTGGATTCCATTTCTCATTATTTCATTCAAACATTTCGTAGTGACCTATTCTTTCATTGAGTGATAGCTATGAAACTGGAACAAGCCATTTGGAATACTAAAATGATAACGCCATATACCTTTATATATAAGCTACCTTTCTTCATGCTCTATACAAACCATTTACGGTTTAGTGTTTTTTGTATTACTTTTATGTAGAAGTCATTTAAAATTGACTATTTTTTGTTCCCTGATGGATTTTGTTAAAATGTGACTTATTTGATTTATAGCTCGCATGGCGTGATTACTATAAGCTTTCGCTTATATCCTTTATTGCTTAATAAAGCTCGGTGTCTGGGGCTTTGTGGGTTATGTTTGATCATCTTACATTATGATAAACAATTTAAACTATGTCTAGCGATTTGTGAACTGTTAAGGGGCGAGAACTCTGTTATCGATATCAACGGAATTTCTCACGATTCGCCTATCATCGGAATTTTCCGTATAGATACTGCGTACATGTATATATAAATAATTGCAGTTGAAAGAATATAAATACAAGTAGTAAAGGATTATGCAATATAATTTTATATATGTATGCAGTCTAATAGAAAAAATATGCTCGTAAACAGTTATTCAATGGGGCAGTTATACGTACAGTGGCGGATTCAGGCCCTGGCTTAAGGGCTGCACCTACCCCCCAAATATACGTTCATGAGCTGGGATGGAATATATACGTGTCAGTTTCATGCAATAGCTTTCTTAGTAAAACATATTATGCTGTCATCCAGTTGTTAAGCACCGGCCTAGGTACTGCGAAGGTCTTTATCTAATGACTTTGACATATAAAAAAGCAAAAATTATTGGCCTTTTAACTTAATAAATGTCTCAGAGTCACTAATAGTGGCGAATAGGTATGTAACACATAAAAATATACATGTATAATAAGGAAAGAAGGAAGTTGTTTATTTTTGTAACATGTGCATAGTCAATTACAAATGATCGGCGTCACGACAAAACCAACATAATGGGTTTTTGCGATCAGCATGGATTCAGGACCAGCCTGCGCGTCCGCGCGCTGTCTGATCAGGACCCATGCTGTTCGCTATCAGTTTCTCTACTTGTAAAAGGGTTGGAAAGCGAACAGCATGGATCCTGATCAGACTGCGCGGACGCGGTCAGTCCCCAGGTCTGGATCTATCCATGCTGGGTCGCAAACCCATTATGTTGTTTTTGTCGTGACGCGCTCAAATTTGGGCATATGGTGTGTCTGATTATAGATCAGACATCCCTGCACACACGGCACCACATTCACATACATTTGTGCGTATTTAACTATGTGTGAAGATATTTTTATCTTTTAATTCACTCAAATGATGTATTAGAAATGCCTATGCATGTAATTCTACATTTATAAACCAAACTGTTAAGTGAGGCTATCATTGCATTATCTCGTTATATACATGTCTTATTCTACTATCATACGTAGTCTAACGTATACGTAGTGAGTAAAGGACATAATGTACATCCTGTTACTGATAAAAAGAAATATTCTTTATATTAAGATTTAGTATATTTCTATTTATAAAGTAGACATCGTCCCAAAATATTAAATTACTAAATCGATTAGTATTTATCATACTGCCCACTCCCACAGTGTAATATGGATATATATTAAACATCCCTACTATTTGTTGTTAACAGCCTAGCCTCCTGTATATTATTTTTATCTTTCTTATATTTACATGAAATTAAAAAATACTATATTAGTTCTGTACTGTAACTAATATCTCTAGTGTAGCTAGCGTGGAGAATTAATATCTGATGATTCGTTAAGTCACGAAGTATAGTAAGTCTTTTCGGGACTCGAGAGCTGACCTTAAACAACTCTTATATCGTGCACAGATATACTAGTTAGTCACTCTGACCTCAGGCTACTATGATCGTGTGTCTCATAGTGCAGTCCTTTGGCTTCTATTGGTCCAGCGATAGCTCAGGACAAGTGAAAGTGTCCAGAGATATCGTAACGCAGACTAGATCATTAATTATACAATTCAGAAATTTATACCACGCGACTAAGAATATACACCGTTAAATCAATATTCAGATATACGATACACCAATGTCGATTCTCCATTTAAACTGAGAAAAAATTAACTGTTTTATGAATAGACCTATACTTATGACACAATTAATCTATGTTGAAAAATACCTCTAGAGTAGTCTCCTCTAAGTTGGAGCGTGAGTGACATAGATCTTTAAGAGGATTTTACAATACGTCCCATAAATTCATAACATTAATTTATTCAATTTTTAGGACAATAGATGACTAATAGCACCAATTTGTTTTATTTATGATACCTTCCGAGTAAATAAAACATATTGGTTCATTTTGTTTACTTATAAACAAACAGCTTCTTATACTGGATATAATCAAATAATGTTGTTACATTTAATTTTTATTGCTTTTAATGCTACTTATGTATAACTATTTTATCGTATCGATGTAATGGACTTTCAACTGTCTCTAATTTATTTTTACAGGTACAATGTGCACATATTCGCCTAGACTAGATACCAATTATAAGACAACTATGCAGCACGTTCTATTAGTTGACATATATACGCGATTATTTAAATATCGCGTTTCACGAGTCACGGGTCAGATACATTACATTGACTTGACGTTCATTGTATAACATTCCTCTTGTGACTATTTCTCATGTACAGTGTGCATGATACATTACATCGCATTTTATATTATAACGAATCAAAATAAACTCTCGCAGTTATCGTATTCTTTTAATCAATTTATTCAGAAAGGTAATCCATTATAGATTACCTAATATCTAATTTCTCATATGGCTCTCAAGTATTTGTTGTCAGACAAATAATCTCATATGTTTTTAATGAGTTCTAGCAATGATATCTGACTATATCTTTGTACCAAACAATAACTTTTATAATAATGCACTTTTTACGGACAGGAGTATAATAAGTATAGCGACAGACAAGTCGCTCATTCTTAAGAAAGATAATTACACTCAAATAAAGTAGTACTAA